GCTGTTGAGGTTTGTCCTTTGTCAAAGTTTATCTAGTTGGGGCTATTGCGACAGCATTTTGTAAATTCATTTATTCCAAATTTGATTTTCACATAATACAAATGCCTAATATTTATAATATTCTCTGTCAATGTTATTGTTCACAATTCCAAGCAACAAAGACAGTCCTCCATTGGCCGTCTATGTCTGTGTGCATATAAAAATATTCTAATAATAATATAATAATATAATCTAATGGCAATATCACATAATAATTACTTTAAAGTTAATATCGCTAACTATTGGCATGATTCATCTTATGTATTCCGCATGTTGCAATATATTTACTTCTTTTCCTTAAATTTCTGCAGGTATTTAATAACTGAATACTTAAAATCACAATATTTATTATATATTTATATATCTATAAAACTGCCCATCGTTGCCATTGGCTCTAAACATTTTTTAAATTTTTCGCAGACATTTTTTAAACATTTTGATAAATTCCTCACGTATCTTTATTGATTTTTGGTTTGGCAAATGCCCTTGTGGGCTTTCAGCAGATTGTTATTAAAAATGTTTCCATGATAATTGCAAGTTAACGAAAAGCATCTTTGGCATCGTTTAGGACTCCTGCTCCATGTCAAATAAAAAACGTACCCCTAACGAACAGGTTCCTTCTGGGCCTTATCGCACTCGTCAACAACAATAATAAAAGGCAGTTGGCAAATGCAGCCATAAATTATGAATATGAAAGCCAAGGTGTCTACGTGTGTGCGTGTGTGTATGTGTGCTGGGGAGCTCCTGTGCCGTCTCCCTTTGGCGCCTCCCTGGGGTCCAATAACGCAAAGAGGCCGCACAAGGCCGCAGGCAAGGCAGGGTTAATAGAAAGTATACGTGTATATGTGTGTGTGTAAAAGTTATAAACATTTATGGCAGCTACTTAAAAATGTCAAGCGAAAAAATTATGATAATGATACGTGACATTTGAAAGCAATAACAATTTAGTTAGCACGCACTTTTTGATTACACTCGAGAAGCTCGACCAGGTTTTATTTATGAGTTGCCTACATAAAATTGAAAAATTGCTTCAAAAATGTACAGTTCTTTGTGTGTGTGTGCATTCATATGAAATACTTACATGAGTGTAATAACAATAATCATAAAGTACGCCATCATAGAATGCGGCAATGGCAATAACAATCTAAGCAGGAGAATATTAGCTTAGCTTTGTAATAGAGTATCTGGTAGATTAAAAGTATATTAAAATTGTACCTAAAAGTCAGATTCTCATTTCTTGTTGTAATGGATAAGCCATTGAAATCAAAATGGCCCCATTCGAAGGGCCTAACTAGTCATCTCACTCTTACATAGCAAAAAAACTAGACTACTTTCAGTAACTGCTTCTGTATCTCTCTTTCTCTCTCTCGCTCATTGCGGAAAACTAAAACGCAAACTCAGTCGGATAATATTTTTACAATACATGCCCTCATTCTCTCACTAATACTACTACTACGACTACTACAACAACGGCTTAAGGCAAAGCTCGCTGTGCGGCTACAGCGACAATGAGTTAAAGTGGGAGCAGATAAGAGCAATGAGTTAGAAGAAGAGCAGATGAGAAGTGAATACATACGATCAGTGGAATTGTGGAGAGTCAACGTTAGTCTGAAATGAGATCTCGTGGAAGCTAGTTGTTAATGCTTGATAGTCAACCTTTAGCTTTTTAAACTACTTCACTCGCTAGCTCTGCGCTCTTTATATCATAGAAATCCTGTAAAACTAAGATAGAACTTTGAAAAAGATTTTAGTAAAAAACGAATTCTTTAGTGTGGCGTAAATTATGAAATTTATCAAATTAACAAAGATTCAGGAGTGGGCGTAGCTGTCCTTCAAGTGGTTAGAGGGAAAAAGGGGGGATGGTCCTGCGACCAGGCCGGCAGTCAGCAGCAACAGTAACAACAACAATAACAACAACAGCAACAAAGCACACATCCTGTATGTCAACTGAATAATTCGTTGCATGCACAAAAGGCATGCACTCACATCCGGTTTCCTGTCATTCTTTTCGCCACACAGGGTCGACGAGGTACGCAACGGGAGGAGGTGAGAGTCAGAGAGAGCGAGAGCAAATGACCGGCTTGCAATTTATGTCTATGTGTTGGTGGCTGCAGCACGTTCTTGTTGCTGTTGTTGTCTTTATGGCGTGTTTGGTATTTGTTGCAACTTTTGTTTTGAATTCCTGTGGCCTTGTCACACGCTCCGAACGCCTGCATTTAAATTTATGTTTTAACACACACACACACATGCACACACATGCATGCATATCCCTTAACGAACAATGAATGCATTAAAGTGTTGCACACAACGCGAACTCTGCATACATCAGTTCTCTCCCTCTCGCTCACTATGCCAGAGCTGCACAAAAGCAAGCAGCAAGCAGCCAGTAAGAGCGAGAGAGGGATAGGAAGAGAGTGAAAAATCAAGTACAGTGACGGCCAAATGCCAGCACCACGTCTCTTGTAAAGCAGCGTATAATCCACTGATTGCTCCCAAGGTTCAGCTTTCAACAATGAAGGACACTCCAAAGGAGTTGGCGCCGACAAAATGGGCAGGGGAATGTGCATGGCATCGGGCATGGCACTGGCCTGCAGCTGTCGGGTCAACGGATGTTGTTGCGCTTTTGTGCCAGCGCTTTGCAGTGGGCATACACATAACCGAGAGAGTGAGCGAGTGAGATATTGAGATCGAGCTGAATGCTTCTGGAATATACGGAAACTGAACACAAAAGGATTTCATATCAAATTTATACAGACTATTGTAGACTTACTTAACTAATTTCAATTGAATCTATAAAAATATTGATCATATTTAAACTGAATATCAAATCAACTGAGAAATAAATTTAAGTTAAAGTTGATTTTGGAATATAAACTCAAATATATATTTTATATCATAGTATATTTTTTATTGGTTGAGAAAGTATGCTTCTATCTAACGCTGGCCACATTGTTCTACTTTGGGGCATGTGAATACGTGCGCTGTAGCATATGAATACGGAATTTGGACAAGTGCCCCCTCAGGCAGGTCTCCTTTGCACCCATCTCTCAGTGCAGCAAAAGATTGAGAGTCGTTGCGTTGGGGCATCAATTTTCACATTAATTTCGTTTGTCGCTTCGGACATGCTCAGTTAGCTAACGCTGTCGGCTCATTAGCAACACGAGCTGGCCCCAAATACACGCTGCTGCCATAAACGACTCGCTTTGCACCTGCATTTCCAGCTCGTCGACGTCGACCGAAAAGCAAAAGGATGCAATTTGCATGTCGTCGCCTGTTGAGTTTGAGTTTGATTTGCCTCTGGCTATGCTCGGCTCGAAGTCTGCTGTTTCAACTAATTAGAGATTGTCGTTTGGAAATCTGAGTTGTGGCACTAGCATCGCTGGATTAGTAAATGATAAGCACAGCTATATCGTTTTAGGAACATGAGCATTGGCATATCAAGATCATATTGAGCGAATCGATATAGAAGTTGAAATTCAATGTTTGCATATTTCGTGAAATAATTCTATATTCTGGGCATAAAATGTTCAGCCTGAGAGTATGCAATAAGCCGTAAAACGCCCGTAAATCGTGTCAATAAATTTTGAAATCTTTTGCCGTTTGCATTTTGTTGTCATATCGCTCGGGCTTCATTAGGCAACTCAAGGTAAATCAACATAGCACAAAATTTTCAAATGATATACAACATGTTACCTGAAGTGTGTGTGTGTGTAAAGTTGCCAACGCAGCTCATTGTCGAGTGTTGCTGCTGCTGCTGCTGCATTTAAGTAAAATGAATTGCCTGCAATTTATTTTTGTTGCTTATCATATAAATTGCACTCGCCTGCAAGTCATTATTTGGCACATTTGCGCTCAATGGCTGCACATTGCTTGCCCGCCCACAGCCGAAAATTTGTGGCCAGTGGGCGTGCCAGCGCATGTGTGTGTTTGTGTGCGCGTGACGAACCGGAAGCCCACAGATATGCCGGCAAGAACAATAGCAACAACAATTTGGCCAACTGGAGAAGCTGCCAGGTGGCCTTTGCACTTGGCTAGGCAAGGCAATGTGATGGAAGCTAGCAGCAGCCAAAGGGTAAAGGTTGCAAAATGGCCATTGGGGATATGCCCGTAGCTGGCACTCAAGCAGTTGCTGCTCTTTTATTTACCACTTGCAATTGCTGCACAAATAAATTTCCGGGTTTCCTTTACTTTTCAGAGCGAGCACAAAAAAAAAAAAAATAATAATAGATGAAAAGTATTTGCTTTATGTATGCAATTTTTGTCTATTTTGAAAACACTTTCAGATTGCAGCAAACGTTGCAAGTTTTTTAAATATTTTCTTGACTCTTTGATGTCGATTAACTGTGACTTAAACATAAATATTTTGAGTTTTGTAAATAAATATAAAATTGTACAGCTGATCGGGCATCTCACTTGATCGATTAATACTGTAAGGAGCAAGGAGAAGGTTTCTGGTCGCTTAAGTTCAAATTTCAGCTACCTCATGCACAGTACACCTTGGCTATCGTTTGGGAAGCCAATGGAATTCGAATTCCTAACAAAAGGCAACAAACCGGCGGGCAAATTGTGCAGAAAATATATTACAAATGCAATTGCAATTAAGTTGTCCGATTATTGGGTCAGATAACAGTGACATTTACGAATTGCGCAGTACACAAAAAGAAATAAAAAGTACGAATGGGGTCTGAGTGGCCGTGAAAAATGGGAGAGCAGCGCAACGATTTCATACAGCGCGACACACATGACCCATCAGAGTATGTATTATCAGCAGTTTTTAATTACCTTGCCCAACAAACAATCATCTTGTCGCCTTTGAGCAAGCGGCTATTGAAGCATTCGTAATACTCTGCAATTTCTGTTATTGAGACAGAAATTCAAACTAAACTTGAGCCTTACAAATCATGAATATACTCCATGAATAGTGTATTTCGTTTTTTTATTCTAATTTGTTTCCAATTGCTTAACATTTTGTGCTATTGATAGGCATTTGTAAACATTTGCTGCATATATAAGTAAGCTGAATGCTCTACGAATGTTCAGAGCATCCGAAAAGCTTGCAGCGTCAGTAAGAATGAATTTCAAGTACTGTGTAAGTGTATAAAAACAAATATAAATTGACGCGTTTTTACTTTCACTACCTCACTCTCACTCACTCTCTCTAACTCACTCTACCGCTCTCACTCACTCTCTCTCTTGCTGTCGCAGTTGCTGCTGTTATCGCTGCTGCTAGCCGGCATGAATGCTAGCCCGACCCGCGAGCCGCCCACACGACCAATGCTGCCGCCCTGCACGCCCTGGTGTGCCGGCCAGCCGACACCGCCCCCCGGTGCCATTAACTAAGCTGATGTGAGAGGAAAGCTACTATAATCTGGTGCTGGTGCTGGTGCTCGCTGCTGCTCCCTTCCCACATAGAGCCAACATGTGTTGGTAGTCGTTTATTTTTTGTAATTATTTCGTACCATTTGCTAAAACAATTAAACTCCCATAAAGTATACAAATAAGTTTCTTACTGGTAATCTTCTAATGCTCATGTGGCTGGGAACCTTTCAGTAATTAGTATGGTTTTTTATGTCCGACCCAAAATACACATAAAGAGCGCGAGATTTCATTGCCTGCGAATTGAAATAAACCGTTGAATTTAGAGTTGCGTTTAGGGTCAGCAAATAACAACGAAACACTCAAGTGCAAACACATACACACACATGTGCATACATTTGTATACAATTTTGTATGTGCAGTTAGAATTAAAAAAATAGCTTGCCTAAAAGAACTCACTCTCTCTCTCTCTCTTTCCCTGTCTCTCTCTTTCGTTCGCTGTCACTCAATTTCCTTTTAAATCAGTAAAGTAAATACTAAAGGATAGCAAAACAAAAAGCGAGAGCGGTACAGTAACAACACAATGCCGCTTAAAAACACACGCACACATACACATAACACAAACAAGCGGTTTGCGAGTATGATCACGCACAACTACAAAAATAGAGCTAGCACAAAATAAAATGCCTGCAACCAGTAAGTGTATCAATACATTTATACATATTGCCATGTATGTAAATAAGTGCATGGGCAAATAAAGCAACAAATGTCAGCGAGTAAAAAAAACTTGCTCAAAAATATAATTGTAGTTGCGTGCACGCTAGATATAAAAAAATGGGATCAATGCATATCCACTCTCTTAAGCAATTTACTTTGAGCGTCTAACGATGGCTGTGTGCGAGCAAGACAACTGCTTAAGCCACATTTACCGTTACATAAGAAAACTGTATGCACAACGATAAGAGCTGAAATTGCAATTGTATGTGTAAAGGGTACTCAGTAAATGGACTTCATTTTGTTAAAACAGCATTAAATGATTTTATTAAGACCGTTATTGAACATTGAATATTGTCCGTGATGCACGTAAAGCAGCACTGCAACTAAAACTGCCGATGATGTGGATGATGTTTCGGACTATGATGTGGATTGTGATATGGACTATGATGTGGATTATGATGTGGGTTGTGTTGTGGTCTATAATGTCCACCTCGATTGCCACCGCCGCCGGCGCGTCCGCTAAATTGCGGTAATGCCAAAGTAGCAGCAATTACCACAAGTAGCGAAAATAGAATTACCTATTCAAAAATAATTTAAATATATTTGTTGTTAACAATACGGCAACCTAATACTGACCAACAGTTTCATGACGACGACTCTCTCAACTATGAACTCTAACGTGGACTGTATGCGACTTTTAAAGCCAAAAATCTCCACTGCCCAAGGGACAATAATCACACACATAAATTATACCTGAACAATTACAGCGAAACCCAAAAATGCACTTATCTCCGTTTATGCGGGTCCGCTTATCTGCCCATAGCATATGCACTCAAACACACTGGAATTCCCTTATGCGTATTTGACCTGTATTTCCTTTTCAACTTTCAGGAAATTTGAAGATTGCACGCCATAAAAGCGGATTGGCTTTGGCTCTCAACATTACATGCCATACGTTTCACATATGTTAATCTGTGCGCCGACTTAAGTTGACATTAGGCATCGTTTCTGAGTAGTCGACACATTAAAGGGCTGCCTAAGAGTCCGCCCGAGCACATGAGCTTGGCTGTTGACAATGATTGGGCATATATATGTTTAGTAAGAAGACGAATTTAGTGTTTAGTAGTTTTTAGTTAATATAGCCTATTAACTTTATTGAAATTAATAGCCACCGCGTCCTCCATGCTGACCATGACCACCTTGTTGACCGTGTCCGCCTTGACCGAATCCTTGCTGACCGCGACCGCCTTGTTGACCGTGTCCACCTTGACCGAATCCTTGTTGACCGTGTCCACCTTGACCGAATCCTTGCTGACCGCGACCACCATGTTGACCGTGTCCATCTTGACCGAATCCTTGCTGACCATGTCCGCCTTGACCGAATCCTTGCTGGCCGCGACCACCTTGTTGACCATGTCCGCCTTGTCCGAAACCTTGAGGTCCGGCCAGAACGGCGACGATCAGGGCAAGGAATACGATCTTCCAAAGTAAAAAATAAAATCCATAAGTCTTTCAGTTCAATTTGAGGATCCTGCTGGAACACTTACGAATAATTTCATTTTAAAAATTTGTTGATTTTGCTTCAGCACTTCCAAAAAAGTTCTAACTATGCAGCAGCAAGCGACGGGCCTTTTTATACCCAGCAATCGTGAAAGATCGGCGACAAAACAATTGCAAAATAAAAACAAACAACGGAAAAAACAAATCTTTTTCAAACTAAATATATATATACATATAAATATATATGTGCAAATGCATAAATCTCTAATCATTTACAATAATATATACGAACGCAGGTCTGGTGCTTATCACAAAGTAATGGAAGTGACGCAGGCAATAAAAGACCAAAGCAAACGACGGAAACGACTAAATTGATTAGGTGAATCAGCAAAAATTTCTTTTTCTTGAAATGAAAAATGTACAAAAATATAATTTGACTTATTTTAACTATGATCTAGAGTGGAGACTGAAAGGAAAGTACGGGAAGCTTAACTAATATTCTAGCAGTCTAAAGAAAAACAAGTCAGAATGCCGCAGTCGGCAGTGCTCGATCAGGAGATCGCTTCTTCGCTTAATATATTATATGTAATATATATATAATATTTATATATTATAATAATATATTTCAGGTAGTTCGAGATATAATTTAATAACATAAGCTCAATAACCATTCAAATAGATTACACTGAAACAGTTATCGATGAGTTGATCCTTAACTTGATCTGCTCGTGCTATAAAAATTCAAGTCTCTAGCATTTAAGGGTTCTAAGATCGACGTGTTCATAAAAACGAACAGATGGGTAGAGCTCTGTTTGCCGTCCTGATGATTGGCCACGCCTTCTTCTGTATATTAAAAACAATTTCATAAAACTATTATAGCTTGAGTTGCTGTTTCAGTGGCTTCAGGCGGTTTCTATAGTGCGATAAGCATTTAAGCAGGGGTGTTCACTGCAAGAAATTTTATTGTATATTTATATTAATAAAATATATATATATATATATATGTATATAGATGGTGTATATATATATATATACAGATAGATATATATATATATATATATTATTAATTTTCTCAAATTTATTCTTAAACTTAAAAGAAAAAAGTTGTTGATTTTTAAAAATTATTATAAATATATTCAAAATTTATTGTTTTTGTTTTTTTTTTTTTTTGCATTACAGACAACATTTTGAGGCTGATAAGAACTAAATATATAATTGTACAGCCTGCTTTAAGGCAGAGAAGAGAAATCGAAATAATTTTGAGCTCATGAAGCATTGCATAGCTACCCAAGGAACAGTTGAGGCTTGGCCGATTCAAGAGGGAATAGAATGGCTCAATGTTCACTCGCAATGCTCAGTTTTGTTGCCTTCTTCTTTCGTCAATCTGTGAACAGATTTCAGTTTAATAATCGCATCGCTTGTTAGCAATCGACACATTCAATGGCAGCTGTATGATAACGCTGCCCATTTGCGATCAGCTCGCTGTTGATAGTGATTCGGACAATATATATAGAGAGTGGGCATGGCTCCTTATAGTAACAACAAATATTTGGCTAGGTTTTAAGCTGTAAACGTCATTATTTTTATTGAACAGAAGTGCTTAGTATCTACCGTGTCCATGTGGATTATGGCCACCGTGTCCACCTGGTCCGAAACCGGATTGTCCGTGTCCGCCTGGTCCGAATCCTTCATGACCATGTCCACCAGGTCCAAAACCTGATTGTCCGTGTCCACCTGGTCCGAATCCTTGCTGGCCGTGTCCACCTGGTCCGAAACCGGATTGTCCGTGTCTGCCTGGTCCGAATCCTTCATGACCATGTCCACCAGGTCCGAAACCTTGCTGGCCGTATCCACCTGGCCCGAAGCCTTGTTGACCGTATCCACCACCATGGGGTGCGGCCAGCACAGCAGCGATCAGCGCACAGAACACAATCTTACAAATTAAATAATAAAATTGATAATTCGAGTTCAATTTAGGAATCCCTCCAGCACTTACGAATAATTTCATTTTAAAAAATTGTTGATTTCTCCTCAGCAGTTCCAAAACAATTCTAACTGTACAACCTCTATCGGGGGCCTTTTTATACCCAGCAATCGTGAGAGATCGGCGTCAAAACAATTGCAAAATAAACAATGGAAAAAACATTTTTTTATATTTATTATACATACATTGAGACATGTCTGCTGGCAGTGTAAATATGTGTATATATTCTTATTTATATATATGCTGTTGTGTATATAAATCTCTAATCATTTACAATATACACAAAAATATTCAAACACATGGGTCTGGAGCTTATCACAAGCGGCTCTTGAAGTAATGGAACTGACGAAGGCAATAAAATGCCAAGCCAAAGGACGGAAACGATCAAATTGATGATAAGAGTCAACAAGATGTGTATTGCTTTGGGAAAAGAAAACAAATATATATGTATATATATATATATATATTTATATATTACATGTCTGCTGGCTGTGTCAATAATATGCAAACAAATTATCTACAAAAAATCACAATTTTTGTGCCCTTGTTGAGTAAATAAAGCAAAGAGAAATCGTGAAAATATAGAATGAAAATTGGTTTTAAAAGGAAAATAATCAGGCGCGATGTTGATGATCAACTGTCAAGATCTACATTTAGCGAGTTAAGATATGTACCTACTTTTACGATTACTTTTGTATAGCATTCTGAGCTGATTATCTGCCTATTTCTACTAACTGTAGCCTGCACCTTAGCTCAGCTTGGATGAGGACACTTGGAGCGGCAATCAAGGGAGTTGAGCTAGAAGAAGCTAGAGTGTAACTGAAATATGTCGAGAGGTAAGTGAGCTGCAATTTATATGAACAGATTTGGATTTGTTAGGCGTTACAGCAGGAGCAAGTCCAGGCCGCGGAGTGTGATTCATCCGAAGATGCTGCTCTTGCTTTAATGGACACAGCAACGTCATCGTAGGAAAAACCCTCTCAAGAGTTATGCCCGACTTGGAGATACCCTGAAGCCTAGCCAAGCTGATTCGCTTCAATAGAAGATTGGAAGACGCAGAATATAAAAGATTCGAGTGCTGACGGCTTCTGGAGAAAAGGTGTCATCTGGAGGCCGGATTATCAAGGTGGAGCACCTAGTGAACAGCATACTATAGTTGAATTTAGCCTGGAATTTAATTAGCTGCTGCGCAGCAACAATCGTGGTTAGGCTGAGCAGAAGGAGCAGGAGGAGAAGCTGTTCCAGTTTTAGTTTCAGCTCAAGGCGCCTACAAATACATGTTTTTTTATATATTCATAAATTTACACTAATAATATTAGATAATATAAGTTTCTTTGTTGCGGAACAGTTGTAAAGCATTGTGCCTTGAGCTGAAACTAAAACTGGAACAGCTTCTCCTCCTGCTCCTTCTGCTCAGCCTAACCACGATTGTTGCTGCAAACAAAGCAGCACTATATATATATATATATATATATATATATATATATATATATATATATATATATATATATATATATATATATTTATATATATTTATAACATAAACTCAGTTGATTCAGCATACTTGCTGAGGCGCGCCACACCTACCTATTTTCCATACCAAATCACAAAATCTTTCTAAATTTATTTCCAATTTTTAAATTTTTGCTCATGAATTATTTATGTATTTAGGCTCTATACTGAGCAACTTGTACACGAAGAAGTTCTGTTAATATATACCTAATTTTGTAGCATACTTTGCAGCAGTTGTGATTATTGAACAGGCGATAAAATTGTCGAAATGTAAAGCTGAACTGACAAATGTTTCAAAATTCCTTTCACAGCGCCTACAATATTTTGCTGAAAGTTCAGAGTTCTCGTATATATCGTTCATATAATTATAACTATAACATATCACATATATTGCTGAAATAGTTCATTTACTCATTGACGAAATGCAAAGGGTATATTGGTTTTGTGCAGTATTTGTCTTCTTGTTCGTTTATTTAGGGCTGATCGTCAATGTTATAAATAGTAAGAAAGCTATATACAGCTTAAGCTTTATAGGTAGATTACTCAATAGTTAGAATCTAATACGGGTTGGCTTTAAATGTGTATAAAAATCGAAACAAAAAACTGTAAAAATGAGATTTCAGAGTTAGGATCATCAAATATTTGAGTTCTAATCAACTATAAGATTTTAAAAAATTAAATTAGATGAAATAAATTATTGGATCATTTTTGGATAATTATTTAGTGAGACATCTCTCTCGCTCTCTTTCTCTCTCTCCACTTTATCAGAGCCTGCCTCACATACTCACCCGCAGCATTTGTAGTAAAGACAACTAAATTATTGGCGTAACTGAAGACACTCGCTTTTAAGCTTCTAGATTGATGGCACGGCTTATGGCATTGCACGATTTTGACTATCGAAATCCAGGACCACAATTCTAGTGGTAAATAGTAAGGATAATGAAACGCAGCAGCAGCAGTCGCAGGGAATAGCTGGCAGTGGCTTTTGAAATAATTTCGCCACAGCTGATGCGTTTGCATAAATCCTTTCAAGGCGTTTCAGCACTGTCAGAGGACGGGTTGAGGGGGCGGCGGTAGCTGAAGCGAGCTAATTAAAAGGGTTGCCACTTAAATTGTAAGAAAATGTTGCACAGCTTTGTAAGGGATTTACCATTCACAGCAGTACATCCGCATTCGCATCCGCATCCGCATCGCACAATTCGTAATTCGCAACAGCGACAGCGAGTCGAGTCGAGTTTTTAATGTTTAACGATTTGTTTTCTTGTCGTGTCGTGATTCGCTTTTGGGGACTTAGATGAATGCATTAAATATTGAAATTAATGGATTTTCCGAGCGCAACAATTTCATTGCTACTTGCTCAGTTCAGTTCAGTTCAGTTCAGTTCAGTTCAAGTATTCTGTTTAAATATGCGATAGCACTATCACTGTCCCCTCAGTACAAATTTTCCTTTAATCAACTCCTCTAATCGTATATGCGTATATAAAATAAAATATTTGCTTATTGAGCGCAATTTCTTAAGGCTCAGATGTGTTTAGAAATTATAGAAAAATATTATTATATTTTATTTATGTCTAATGTACAGGTAGATACCCTGTAATTGGCTTAAAGCAATATATTTCACTACGAAAATAGCTCAAATAGCTTTAGTGCCATGAACTAGACTAATTTTTTTGTATGCCCGACTGGTATATACCCTGTAAACATTTTAAATTTTGTTTCTACTATGGAAATAATCTTCAAATTAGTCAAATAACATTTAAAAACTATTTACTTAAAATAAAAGTAATTTTTTAAGGTATGCACAACTGGTAGATACCCTGTAAACCAAAAAACAGCCATAAAAATTGAATAACAAATACTTAAGACATTTGAAATGTTTGAAGACTTATATTTTGAAATATGCCCGACTGATAGATACCCTATAAACAGTAAACCGCTTTATGCAGTTGATCAAATATTTAAAAATTAGATAAAAATCATTTCAATGTAATGCACTTGCAAGCATAGGGATTGTCTTAGCACTGCACGACTGTTGGATACCCTGTATTTAAATTTGAAACTTCATATATTTTTGCAGTTAAATATTGTCTTTTGTCAAGGAGTTGATTGGCTCTGACATACCCTAAGTCTTTTTCAAGACACAATAATATCAAGCAAAAGTAGCTGTTGCAAGTTGTTGCATGTCTGCTGCATGTTACCGTTCGGTTACCTTTCGCGTTTGCCCTTTTGTTGCAATTTCGCCTTAGACAGGAACATGCATAACATAAATTTTGCCTTTAAATGCATGGAATATAGCGAAAATTCTATGCATTTTATATAATGCCAGTGCCAGTGGCCATGCAGCCACATACATCTATATCCATGCATGCATATATATATATATATATGTATCTGTATATGTTCGTATGCAGATCTGCCTTTGCATTGGACGCCAAATGCATTCAGAGGCATCTTTGAGCATGCACAGCCCCCTCGCTCACTGGCATGGCACTCGTCACTGTGCTCCAACTGCCAACGCCGATATTCTTCTGCTGCTGCTTAATCCAAAGTGTGCACTCAGCACGCGTTCATTTGATGCGTGGCAGAGGGAGCCAGAGAAATTCAACATGTAAATATAAGCTGCTAGGCAACTTGGAACTGTCTTTTTTTGTATATGCGGCGTGGTCTACATGCATAAAAGATGCCACATGTAGCACACACAGAGTTGGCATAAAATTTGTCAGTAGCCAAGGCAAGGTGCGTGCCGTTCACACACAACACCAAAGTGGCCAAGGGCAGGACCTGAGGATTCATGGCAGCCAAGGACCCAACTGCTAGATGCTGCCATTTCCGTCTCATTTTCAATAAAGCTCGCAAAACAATTTTAATAAACAAAAGAAATAATTTTCAATGCACTTTGTTGCAGCAGCAGCGAGACACATGCGCCCACATTTCTGTTATAGCCGTAGAGACAAACAGAGACAGCAACCTTAGAGAAAGCAATACCAAAAATTGGTCCTCCAACAGCGTTTCACATAGTTGGCAGCAAAAGTTACGTGCGACAGCCGCCCAGTCCACGTTCAACTTTTCGAGGCACTCAAACCAACACGACAAATTCCAAACACAAAAAAGAGGAGCTTCAAATAAAAAACAATATAAAATACACCACTGTAACATAAAATAAAACTATATGTGGCCTAGTTATGCATAGCCGACCTGTTGCATACACTACAAAAAAAATTAATGAACTTTCAATTGATTGACATTTGAATTTACAAATCTGTTATATATATATATATATATATCAATTGTTAAAGATTAATAATGAAATACGATATTGTTAGCTAACAATTGCAGCACTTATTTTGAATTTTATTTTCATTCATTTGAACTTTATCTTCCTTTCTCTGCGTACCTCAGTCATTCAAACTACCTGCTCTATATTTATTATCATTATATCTTTTATTATTCGTCTCTCTCTTTTGCTCTGCATATATGTTGTTTGTTCCTTGCTCAGTCTTTATAAGTTTCTTTATCTCTCTCTTTCATTCCACCTATATATCTCTATATCCCT